AAGAGCACTGAATATTGTTACAGAGGACACAGGTTCCATTCCCAGAAACCACCTCCTGGCTAATCAGTTCCTGTAACACCAGTCCAAAGGGTTCTGATGCCCTCTTCTGGCCTCTCAGGTACTGCACAGACACTTGAAGGCAAACACCCATACACAAAAAACATTATAGCTTAAAAAATGGAATTCTCGACGGGCAGTGGTGGTGCACACCTTTAATCCCAGCACACAGGAGGCAGAGGCAGGCGGATCTCTGTGAGTTTGAGGCCAGCCTGGTCTACAATAGCAAGTTCCAGGACAGCCTCCAAAGCTACACAGAGAAACCCTGTCCCCAAAAGCGGGGGGTGGGGGGGTGAGGGGTGGGGGTGGGGATATGGAATTCTCTACAGTGATGTCACTGCTCTGAGACAGACAGCAGGCAAGGCTAGTTAAAATGAACTCATTCTGGTGCTGTATACATCCTCTGAGCCAGCAACTCAGAGGCTTTTAAAAGCAGCTTTATGTTGAGGTTTGAATGGCTCAGCAGGACTATTCATCTAAGAGCAGCACCCACGGACCTGATAGGGGACTTCTTGATGTTTTCTGTGTTTGTGCTCTTTGCCCTTTGTAGGTGTGAGAATTGTGGCAATGGCCCACGTTTTAAATGTATTGATGCCTCTTTTAAATATAGAACATAATGTATGATCTAAAAGATAGATTTCCTCTGCCTGAGGGCTAAACTTGCAGTCTCCTGTCCCCATTTAAATTGTTCAGTGCACATCCTGGGGCCTAAAAAAGACTTAAGGATGACAGCGTATGTGGAATGCAAAATCCATTGTAGGCTAGTTCCTGTTTTAGCATTGACAACAGCTGGATGCTTGCTATTACTAAAGAGATATTTATTTATTAAATTTTAAGTATTTAAAGTGAATTCTCCCTGGGAAAACATAGTAATTCTACAATAGCTGTACCTCCAGCCTTTTAGAAAAATGTTTCTCAGACAAGCTCTCCTATGTGACCAATAACAACATACATATAAAGATAAATTAACATTTACATCCCAGCATCCTAATCCCTAACAGGCCTGCCTGGTTAACATACTACTATCTCTGGGGTATTTTAGAGGTAGCTCTCTCCCTTAGCTAAATTCCGCTTTGTGTGAGTTGCTATCTCCTAAGCATTGGGAAATCCTTTCTATCCACAATTCTACTCTTCTACATCACAGTTTAGTGTAGAGTACTACCCAGTGCATGAGATGCCATTTACAACCTCCACAAAATTAATGCCAAATGGATCTTACACCTATGTGTGAAATGTGAAGTGCAGAACTTCCAGGAGAGTCTTGGTAAACTAGGCCTCACCAAGTTTGGAAACCTGCCTAGGCCTTGGGAGGTTTCTCTATGGCACTGATGCATAGAGCAAAAACAGAGCTCCTTCTCTAAATCTGGGAATACTGGAAGAGTTGGTAAAGGTCTGTGACCTGGGCCCTTTGTCGGGGGGGGGGGGGAGGTTGTTTCCTATCCAAGTCTTTCTACACATGCTGCTGTAGTTATCAGTTCCATGGCCACTGTGAACTTTGTTTATAATGTTCTTGAGGTACCCTGTGTTCCTCCTGTGCAACATCTTCTGGTCAGTCTCTTCCTGGATTTGTATACTTCCTTTTAAAACTGACCCATTGTGGGTTGGAGAGATGGCTCAGAGGTTAAGAGCACTCTTCCAGAGGTCCTGAGTTCAATTCCCAGCAACCATATGGTGGCTCACAACCATCTGTAATGAAACCTGGTGCCCTCTTCTGGCCTGCAGGCATATATGCAGACAGAATGCTGTATGCATAATAAAAAATAAATACTTAGCTTGGAAGCCAGGACTGAGATCCACCGACCCACCGTGCTGTGTCCCTGCAGCTCACCGGTTCCCCGGGGGACTGATTCTGTCACTCAGGACTGATTCCTGTCACTCAGGCCTCACTAGCCAATCAGAACCTCTAGAAGACCCATCAGTGAGATGGGAGGGTTCTTCCGCTTGACAGACTTCTGGCTCGGCCCCTCCCACTGCGGAAGTCGGAAGCTACCCTTGTGCTGGTCGGTGGGCTCCGGTGGGCTCCGCTGTTGGGAGAGCCTTGTGAGCTTGGACGCCGGGCCAACGTGAGTGAGGGGCTGCTGTTCCCAGACGCGGAGGAGTGGCCAGCCATGGTGAGCGCGGGGCCGCTGTCCCCAGACTGGGACGGCCGAGCGGGGGGAGCCTGGTGTGGCGGGTCCTTCCCGGGGCTGGGTGGGAGCCAGCGGCCGGCGTGGTCCTACCCGTCCCGTGTGGTCCTGCGTGGCCCTTGTAAGGCTGAGGGCCGGGTGGCAGCCTCTGAAGAAGTTCACTACACGGGCTGCGTCCGAGCAGGGCACTGGGAGCCTTGTTGGGATCACGGGGAAACGCTAGCGCCTGCAGTGCTTGTGCTGTCACTATGGAAGGCAGGTTTGCCAAACTCGGAGAGCTATATCTTCCAGAAGTGCTGCACGTTTAACGCTAACATTTAGGTGTGGGATACGTCTGGAGTTAATTCTGTGCAACTTGTAAACGGCATCTCCTGTGAAGAGTAACACTTCACTGCGCTTTGGAGGTTCTCCTCTCTGTAGACCAGGCTGACCTCGAATTCACAGAGGCCTCCTGAGTTCTGGGATTAAAGGCGTGAGCCACCAACGCCTGTCGGATTTACCAGTTCTTAGGGAACATTAAGTCACATAAAGCAGAATTTAGCTAAGGGAGGACTGACTCTCAAATATCTCAAAGATAAGTAGTTTGCAAACCAAGCCTGTTAGAGAGTAGTATCATAAAATTTAAATGTTTGTTCCCCAGGATTATCCAAGCTACATTCCCATAACAAAGGAGACAACCCTGATTTACAGCCACCCACACAGCCTCCCCACACCCCCAGTCAAAGAACAGGCTCGGACATGCTAGCAGCTCAAAGGGCCTTTACAGGGTCACAACCAACTTTAAGTCCTGGTGTGACATAAAGGTGAGTTAATTCTAGAACAGCTGCATCTCCATCGTTTTCTTGAAAAGTAGTTTTGAGTCAAGGTCTGCTATGTTGATTGAGGTGGACTTGAACCCTGTCTGTAGCCCCACAGGGCATTGCCCTTGCCATCCTCCTAAAGAACCACCCTAAATTCCTGGATTAAAGATCTGTAGCACCACAGAGTTCTTAAATGACCAGTTTGAGTCACATAGTGGAACTGTCCATTGCAGTAACAGGAAAAGGTTTTGTGTGTGGAGCATGGCTTCTCCCTTCAGAGCAGAAGAGGAGGGGCAGTGTACTGTGTGCACTGCAGGGGGAAAGAGACTAGATCACAGACTGAAGTTTAAGGCAGTGTGCTGCAGGGGTCTCCATTACCAAGAAGGACCTGATGGGGCAGGGTGAGTGACTTTCTGTGAATTTTGTTGCATGTATTAAATTTTTCCATGTGAATAAAGACAGATAGAATTGGTGGGTGTACAGTATAGGGAGGGTAGCCTGAACTACTGAGTATTCAGTTTCTAGTTAGGGCACTCTCTAGTTAGGGCACTCTCCTATGCAGATATGTGCAATCCTGGATCAGAAGTTGAAAGCTTACAGCACTCAGCAGCTAACATTTTACATGGGACAAAGTCATACAGTGTCTTATTAATGGCATTCTCTCTATCAGGGAAGTGCCTACTCTGTTTCAAAGTCAGTATAGCAAAGTGTTCTTCCAATTGTTTTTATCATTTTAAAAATGCAAATTTTTGGTATTTTTTAAATTTCATTTTCTTAAAATGTATTACTGCTCTAATCTATTTCTTTCAATTTCCCAGTATTTCTTAGTCACTAAGAATTTCATTCCATTGTTTTCTTAAGTGACATTTATTTATTAATATCAGTTTAGAGGAGTGATTCTCAATGTGGGGTGGTGGGGGCATCTTTTGGGGGGATCAAATGACCCTGCCACAGGAGTTGTGCAAGATCATTGGAAAACACAGATCTTGATATTACAATTCAGGGCAAAATTATAGTTATGAAGTAGCAATGTAAATAATTTTATGGTTGGGTGGGTCACCACAACATGACAAACTGTATTAAAGGGTTAACACATTAGGAAGGTTGAGGACCACTGGTTTTGATCAATGTCTCCTGTAGCTCAGGCTATGTAATTGAGAATTGCTTTGAACACCTAATTCTGCCTCTGCTGCCCATGGCTGGGAAGACAGTCCTGCAACTGCTTCAAGTCTGGGCCTTGACTTGTGAGTAGACCAGTGAATGAGTATCCAATCTCTCTGGTTTTTATTGGGAGCTTACAAACAAAGAGGGACCTGTGTAAGAATTGAGTTCACTGACCAGCTGTAAAGCAGGTGTAGTCACATCACAGAAAGGGATGGGCAAGGAGGGTGAAAGCTTTCCTACTGTGACAGTAGTTGATCTTAGCAATGAGTAGTGGTGTGATCAATATTAGGTGCTTGATAAATGTGCTGACTGGCCATTTCTCAGGTTAATAGACCAGGAAATCAAGAATATGGATAGAAAACTGAATTTATTGTAAAACCAAATTATTGTAGTTATATTAGTCCAACCAAAATTTAAGAGCAGGACAAGGGGCTGGAGAGATGGCTCAATGATTAAGAGCACTGACTGCTCTTCCAGGGTTCCTGAGGTCAAGTCCCAGCAACCACTTGGTGGCTCACAACCATCTCTAATGGAATCTGACACCCTCTTCTGTCATGCAGGCATCCATGCATATAGAGCACTCATATACATAAAATATATAAATAAATAAGTAAATCTATTTTAAAAAGAAAGATCAGAATAAAATGGTGTGGCCTGTTATTTTCATGGTTTAAGATGTTTGGCATGTTACAGGTTTAAAGAGAAATCTGGCACTGGGGAAATGTCCAGAGATCTACAAGAATGACACCAACTAACAATCTAAGCAATAATGGAGAGGCTACCTTAAATGCCCTTCTCTGATAATGAGATTGATGACTACCTTATATGCCATCTTAGAGCCTTCATCCAGTAGCTGGTGGAAACAAGCATATACCACAGCTAAACACTGAACTGAACTCTGGAATCCAGTTGCAGAGAAGGAGGAGTGATGAGCAAAGGGGTCAAGACCAGGCTGGTGAAACTCACAGAAACAACTTCCAGAGATGGAAGAATTCCATCAGACCCAAGTCCTCAGTGGCCACAGGACTTGGACTCTGTCAGAGGTGAGGGTCTTAGACCCTGGGTTGAGTTGAATGCCCAGAAACACCACCGTGAGAGAGCATAGTTTCCCAGGAGGTGGAGGTAGTCTAGAAGCAAAGAGGGACAGAGGCAAGAAGGACTGCTGAGAAGGAGGTCATCTACATATTAGAGGAATGTGCTAGGACTGTGGTCAAAGGTGGAAAGATTCCAAGCCAAGACTTGGCCAAAGAAACGAGGTCTGTCCCAGAAACACTGAGGGAGAACAGTCCATGTAAGCTGTCTGGAGGACCGGGTGTCAGTATCCTCCTAGGTGAAGGCAAAGAGGAAGTATGATTCAACTTTTAAAGGCACAGTGAAAAAGGCTACTTGCAGGTCCAGGACAGCCAAGTGGGAGGTTGCAGGGTGTGCGTAAGAAAGGAGGTTGTATGAGTTGTTAACCACTGGATTTTTTTGGAATAACTGCATCTTTGATGAGGCAGAGATCTTGAATTAAATGGTGAGCACTTGAGTGCTTGCGTACAGGAAAAATGGGAGTGTTGTAGGGTGAGTTGATCAGAATTGAAAGTCCCTGAGATAAAAGGTGGGTGATAAAGGCCTAAGGCATCGGTGATGGGTTTTAGAAATAGGAAACAGGGGTCTGGAAGGGAAGGAGGAGGGGTCATTATGGTGAACTACAACTGGCTGGTGGTGACTTAGCAACCACCATGGTAGAGATATCCCATACCTGGGGGTCTACTGGAGTCAGGAGGGCAGGGATAGGACAGTCTGGGGTAGGAACCTGTGAGGCTGTTAAGGGGAGAAGAAGGTGGGCGTCAGGAGAGAATGTGGGGGCCAAGATGAGTATGGTATCAGAGCAGCTGAGAATATCAAGACCAAGTGGATGTACAGGGCATGTGCAGATGTGACTAGAAAAGAGTCATCCTGCAAGAATGCAGGGAAGTGACAGGGTCTTAAGTGGGAAGAAGGGAGGGGTCCCATCTACCCCAGTGACAGAAATTGGCAAGGGAACTGGGACCCGAGTGACATGTTAAAACAGAATAGAATAGTGGGTGATGGACCTACCCACTACCTGGAAATTTATCCTAGGCTCGGCAAAGGTGATGAGAGTCACCAAGTTTGGGTGCCATCAGTCCTCCACCAGGCTGAGGAGTTTGAAGCTGGAAGAGTCTCAGATGCCAGTGTGTGTGAGGCTGGACCTCCATGGTGTGGTGTTGAGGATGAGCCCAGCCCTGTGGAGGCATTCTGATTTCCAGTGGCAGAGGATCAGGGTAGAACCATGACCAGTGGCAACATTTAAAGCAGGCTACTGGTGGAGTTGACTTGGGCTGGGTTTAGGCTGGGTGGAGCCTTGTGGAATTCCCATGTGAGGGTGCTGATGGCCTCAGGGCAGCAGGCAAGCATGAGCTTGGAGTGGAGCCTTCGAGCCAAGACTGTTAGGAAGACTCAGCTCCTCCTCTCCAGCATTAAATACCTTGAAGGCCATCTTTTCCAATTTCTGTAATTGGGTTTGGGGACCCTCCTCAATCCTTTTTAATTTCTTTCTAATATCTGGTGCTGACTGAGAAATAAAATGGGCAGCCAGGACTGTGGCTCCTTCTGTGGAGGCTGGGTCAAGACAAGTATATTAAACCATGGTCTCTTGTAAACAGTTTTAAAAATGATGGATTTTATCAGCTTGCATAGTCTCTCAGAGCTTATCAGAATTAACAACTTTGTCTGAGACCATGTCCATACTCTGATGGAGGCAGCAGACCATGAGGTCCCTTCTCTGGCAGCTGTTCTGACCTGACTGATAGTCTCAGTAGGATTCTATAACCGGCTCTGCCATGTCACCCACAGTGACTGTATTGTCTAGTAGGTGAATTCTATCTGTATATTGTCTGGCTGCTGCCTGAACTCAGCCTCTTTCCTCAGGAGTGAGAGTGGAGACCTGGATGACATAGAGGTTATGCCAGGTCAGGTCATGGGCTTGGAACAGATAATGAAACTCCTTGATATAAACAGGATTAGCAGAGGAGGAACCCAACTATCTGTAAGAGAAAGGGGTGTGGACTCCTAACAATTCCATTGGTTCCAGCCACCTCTCAGAGAGGGCAGAGGAGAACAGGAATCCACTGAGAGCCAGTATGAGAAGAGACCAGAGAGAATTCATGAGGAGTAAACCAGTGTGTGGAAGAAGACCAAGGTGTACATTTTGGCTTTGAATGATAGGGAGAGATAGTAGGAAGGAGAGGGAGAGGAAGGTTGGTAAGGAGGAGGAAGTTGGTCCTTGACCTTTGTCTTGGAGGGGAAAGGAGGGGGAGGTAGATGGAGGAATGGGAGGAATGGGGGCCACTGAATAGGTTATGTGGCATTGTAGGAGGAGAATGGGTAAGCCGGTTTGGAGGAATATGGGGGAGGGGCCAGTGTCCCTGGCTGCATGGTCAGGGCAGAATGTTCAGGGTCCCAGTTCCCAAATAAACGGGAATCTGGAGGTATCAGAACCCTAACCAACAAGACCTGAACTGCAGGACACTAACTAGAGAAAGAAGGGTGGGAGTGCAGTACCCAGGTACCGTGGACATAAGGCAGTTCTGCCCATTTTTCTCCATACCAGCAAAAATTTTCAAGACAACCGAGGAAGGTGAATTCAAAAGTTCCCTCTGGTGACCATCATGACTGTTATCAAGAGCGTACTGTGGACAGGCCTTAGTGAATAGGGAAATAAGGCCATCTGGACATAGGTTATCAGAGCCCCCAATTTGAACATTTCATAAAAGACATCCTAAGGTTGTTTGAAGATCTGGCTTAGATCCACAGTTTCGCATTTTACAAGCCTGTGATGGAACCTGAAGTCTAAAGCAATGCCTACACTCTAAGAGAGGCTTTTAGGTACAGGAAGCTCCAAAGCCTGAATGTCCTAGCATCCCAGGCATCCAGGGAGGATCAGATTGAGCAGGAATAGGTCAGGAATGCCCCTGGAACGACTGCATCTTTGGCAGGGTAACCTGAAAATCAAGAGGAGTCTTGAACCCCTAAAGACTGACTTGGAATGGGCAATTTACCAGACCGAAAGCAATTGAGTCTAGTGGAGAGTGGGAAAGAGTGTTTCTCCCACATAGCCGAGGGCAGATGGGGAAAGCTCAGCTCCCCAGCCAGTACACCAGATGAAAAGTTTCTGTACGCTGATACTAAGCCTCTCTGCCAATGCAGTAATCCAAATCAAGCCAAATTAAGAATCGAAAGTCCAGGTTTAATGAGTAAAACGCTCCTGGATGGTTTTTTTCGGCCTCCAGAGAGAAGACTGGGAGAAGAGACTGAAAAATCACATGGCAGTTCTCTAGGGGGAGTTTAAATACCCTGTAAGTGTGGTCTTGAGCATCTCCCTGGGAGGAGTTGCTGGTTGGCAGGTTCTCTGAGGTGGGGCAGAGTTTGGAGAGAGGGAGGGGGGGGCGCCACCGTGGAGCTTCCACCTGAGCACTCTGTGTTTCATTGATTCTTTGTAGTGTTCTGTTTTCCTATTTTATTGATTTTAGCCCTCATTTGGATCGTTTCTTGTTGTCTACTCCTTTCTGGTATGCTTACTTTGTAGTGGGAAATTTATTAGAGCTATTATACCTTGTGTAAACTCCCGAGTGATTGCTTCCCTAGTCTTTGTAGTAATCTTTTGAAAATAATCAGTGATGTAAGATTATTGCCTTTGTTTTCATATGTGGAGTTAATCTCCTTGATTTGGAATTTTTCCTTCTAGCACTTCCTGTATTGCTGCATTTGTAGATAGATAGTATTTAAATTTGACTTTGTCATGGAATATCTTATTGTCTGTATTTGTTATGAATGAAATTTTCTGGGTATTCTAATTTGGACTGGGATCTGTGGCTTCTTAGAGTCTGCAGCACATGTGTCCAAAGCCCTTCTGATTTTTACAGTCTCCATTGAGAAGTCAGATGTAATTCTCATAGGTATGCCTTGTATGTTACTTGGTATTTTTCCATTGCAGCTTTAATTGTCTTTCTCTGTTTTGTGTGTTTAGTGTTTTCATTATTATGTGTCAAGGGGACTTTCTTTTCTGTTCTAGTCTATTTGGTGTTTTATATGCTTCTTGCACCTTAAAAGGTGCTTAAGTTAGGAAAATTTTCTTCTATGAGTTTCTTGACCATATTTTCTGGACCTTTGAGCTGGGATCCTTCTCCTGGCTTTATCTTTTCATGGTTTCCCAGATTTCCTGGAAATTTTGTGTCAGGGGTTTTTAGGTTTGACATTTTCTTTCTTTAACTGATGTCAATGCCTACGATTTTCTCTTTCATCTCTGTATCCAGTTGGTAAAGCTTGCCTCTGCAGTTCTTTGTAGACTTAAATTTCTCATTTCCAATGTTTCCTCGCTTTGTGTTTTCTTTATTGCATCTGTTTTCATTTGCAGGTCCTGTACAGTTTTATTTGTTTCCTTCAATTGTGTGTTTTTTCTTAGCTTTAGTTAAGGGATTTATTGGTTTCCTCTAATTCTTTTGAGTTTTCCTGGATTTTTTTTTTTTGAGGGATTTGTTGATTACTTCCAATTGTTTTTGTTTTCCTTGATTTCTTTAAGGGATTTATTATTTACTCTTTTAGGACTCTGTCATCTTCATAGAGTTGGTTTTAAGGTCTTTTTCTTGTGCTTAAGATATGTCAGACTATGCAGGACCTGATGTGGTAGGATAGATGGGCTCTGTTAGGGATATATTACTCTGGCTGTTATTTTCATGAGCTGGCATCTAGGCATCTCAATTTGGGGTGATTTATAGGGTTAGGTGCTGCTTTCTGGGTTTGCGTTGGTTGGGTGCCAGTTTTGTTTCTCGGTTTTGGTTGTCTCTTCGGATTTTCAGAGAGTGTGTTGGCTGAGCCTTGCCTTCTGTATAGGCATGCTTAGCTGGTGAGTTCATGGAGGAAGGTTTGCTGCTGGGGGAAAGGAGCTCAGGGGAAGAAGATCTTAGGGACCCACAGGAGGAATAGAGAAAGGGGTAGGGGAAGGTGCCTCTAGGAGTCTATTGTGGTTCTAGGGGCAACC